CAAGGCCTTGTGGGGAGTGTAGTCCGGCGGGCGGCGCCTCCCGCCGCGCTCAGCGCTTTTTCCTCCTAAAAACTCCGTTTTCGGTCAAAACGTTCCCGGCCCTTCCTTCGGGCCCCAGCTGAGTGCGGAAGGACATCAAGCCGCCTCCTGAGCACGGGGGGAAAAGGGCGAATTTCAGAGTCAGAGCGTTTCCCCCTTGCGCTGCCAGCCGTAGCGCAGGACCCGCCCGACTGGGCGCGTTTGGAAGGCTTAGGCGGCATTCCCGGATCCCGGCAGGCCTTTGGGATGCATCTCCCTCTAGCGGGAAAAACCGCCTTTATATATAGCGAGTGAGTGGATAGGAACACCAACTCAGCGTGCCACCAACTCAAAAAAAAAATAAAAAAAAAAAAGTTATTTTAACATCTCTGTAGATGTTATACCATCCTCCCAACACTCACTAATTTGTAATTTCAACATACTTGCAAAATCTCACCATTATACAGCTTTTTCTCCTATTATTGAGGAATAGCTTTCACAAATAATACAAAACTTTATTTTGCTCACCAATGTAACATCTAACATAAGAGGAAACTAAAAACAATATCTAGTTTCCTTAGGTATAATTACTTATTTTCATACTCCTTTAAACGTTCATGTTGCTTTGAGGAGAAAAATGGAAATGCAGATGGGTTTTTACAGAAAATACATTTCCACCATGATGGCTTTCAATTTTACTTGGAAAAAAAAATAGACAAAAGCCAAGTGTCTGGCCTTCTCTGCAAAATTTCTTCCAAAAGTAAAGGATGTGTCTAAGATGCCGCAAATAGAAATATTGATTTCTATCTTAGCGTGTGACAGAACTGCCCTATTTTGTAAGAACAGAGGGTGCCATTGATTTTGCTGCTCTTTGAAGCAGGTCCGTTTTGAACTGCTTGGATAAAGACAGGCGATGAAAATAATTTGTCCCCAGTGCATTTTTATTGTGTACTTGAAGTAACAGTATTTTTCTCACACACACAGAAGTATATTTAAAAAAAAAAAGAGCAAGAACAAACAGAATTGCTAACTGTTTTCTCAACCCAAAATTCAATACTTTGCATTTTCTATCTTATTTCATGCCAGTGCATCACTACATCATAGATTGTGGGCTCAGACGGGGCTTATTTATATGCCTACTTTTTTTTCTCTCTCTTTTTTTCTTTTTCCTTGAGGGTTTACACTGGGTCCATGAATATTCCTTGCGGGAAGCATCACCCCTGTTGCCTCCCCAGCGCTTTCCCTGCAGC